TTTTACACGCGAGCCTCTAACTCGTGCGTTTCTCACATCTTCGAAATTTCTCAAATTTTACGATACGATTTTACAAAGACAAAGGTGAAATTAAAGCCACCTACGACATTCTTTCTTATCGTTTAGACGCGTGTGCTTCTAACCCGCGTGCTTCTCTCGTTTAAATTTTTCGCATCGTACGATATAATTTCACGAAGAGAAAAATAACGAAAAGGTCGCGTATGGATTATCAACGTCTACGATATTCTTACACGTCCTTTGTTTCCTATCAACGATCGCGCACGAGTTCTTTGATCCGTGTATTTCACTCGTCTTCTAAACATCTGTCAAATTATAATTCATAATTTTTAAGAAGAAAAAGCACCGCGGTGAAAAGATCGCCTAACAGTCTTTAAAACGATGCTTTCGTTGCCCTTCTCGCGTCACGAAACACGAGGAGGAAGGAGAAGAGGTTCGGAACGAGTGACGAAGAATCGATTTAAAAAGGTCGCGTGCGACACGCGGCCGGACATACGTGTCAGAAGGCATTTCGAGATTCGTTAAGCCTCATCGTCGACACTCACCCTCGCGTAACATCGGTTGAACGTCGCATTTGCGTCGAAGAATGGAGCTAAGTCGTCGAAGCGAGAAAAGGAAAGAGACAACAGATTAGAGACGATATTCATCCCAGAATAGGGAAGAGTGAGACGTAAAGAAGAAGAAAAAGAAGAGACAATTCTTCTTGGTGGTGGTCAGGCTACGAGACGAGGGTGTGGCTAGGAGATAGGGATGATTAGAAGCTACACTGCCGAAGGCACGAGCCGAGGGTGCCGGCGGAAAATTCATGGAGTTACTTAGAAGTCTTCCAGGCTTACTCGTTTATCTTGCCACCGGGGAGAAGAAGGAAGTCGTTACGTCGTCGAGAGGCCGCCCCCGGGGTCGAGGCTGTAATCCTAATTAATAATTAATTACCACGGTAGGGGAATAAATGGCCGATTGAATTCTTCCTGCGCTAAGGGAGGGGCTTGATTTATCGGGACGATTTTACTCTACGCTCGAGAACTCAGAAACAACGCAGCCTCCGATTCATCCGAGACATTGTTCTTCGCGTTTTCCACGGATCAGATCCGCCGGAATTGATTAAATACGGTTGTGTATCGAACAATGCGTACGGTTCTTTCAATCAAGCCAAGTAATTCGCCTTGTCACTCGCTAAACTCCACTAATGGTGCCTCACGATACACGACGAGTCTGAAAATTGAATTTTGAGATTGAAGCATAGGCGACTCAGATAATCTCATCTCCCTACGCGTAGAATC